CTTAACAGCTTCAGGCTTCTCACCTAATAATCACAATACGATACATACTACTATACAAACATGGTATATTATTTACCATAGGGAGTGGCCTCTTGGCTTTTCCTTACTTTAGCAAGTAGAGTGATAGGATTAGATTTAATACCTCTACTGAACTTACGACGTTGACGAGCCTTAAATAGAGGCATCAACTGCTCAGTGGAGTAGTCTAGTATCTGGTATAATATACGAATCACTAAGTTATCATCATCACCTTATTATTACATCATCAAGATCAACACCTCTATAGGAGTAATGACGAAAGGTACGCTTCTTATGCTGCTCAGCAGCAGGAACCTCAGACATGATAACAACAACAATGCCTAGCACACCATGAGGTCATCACCACTAGCAAGCACCATCATCACCACCACAACGACCACCACCATCTCGAATATAGCGTGATCGATTATGGTAATTTTGATCGATTTGGTGTGACGTTGTTGATGCCTCCTAGTACTCCTGGATCATCGCTTGCTCTTGTACTGTCGTCCTAATGGTGTCGAAGTGTTGTAACCATACTCGTAAGCTACACATCAGGCCTACTAAGCTACGATCTACCATTACTCCTGGTAATAATAATTAGTAATACTACTATAGCTAATTATCTCAATTATTGCTGAATCATTGTTGTTCTTGTTCTATTAGGTAGCGTACTTATCCTATTGGCTGGTCCTTATCGTGGTAAACGTGTTGTATTCCTTAAGCAATTGGACTCTGGTTTACTCTTGGTTACTGGTCCTTTCCGTCTTAATGGTGTACCTCTTCGTAGAGCTAATCAAGCCTATGTTATTGCTACTTCCACTAAGATTGATATCTCTAAGGTGAATACTGATAAGTTTACTGATGAGTATTTTGCCAAGTCGAAGGATGAGAAGCATACTGGCAAGAAGACTGAAGAGGAGTTCTTTGCTCTACAGAAGGATGGATCTCAATTATCTGCTCAGTTTATTGCTGATCAGAAGGAGATGGACAAATCTCTAATGTCTGTTATTGCTAAGGATAAGATGATGCCTCGTTATTTGAGGTGCCGTTTTACTCTCAGTAATGGTATGTATCCTC